TAAGCATATGGCTAACCATCATGTTCAAAGTATTATAAAACACACTGAGTATATAGACTTAAAAACAGGATTACTGCACCTATGAAGCTTAAAATATAATTTGGAAACAAGGACCAACCACTGAAGAACTTACTAGAAGAATCAGGTGCTAAGAGTCATGGTTACTTGAGATTGTTAACATTTCAAAAGCAACAGTAATGGCCTGGTACAGACAGGCCCCTGGATTTGATGGTGGAGAGGGGAGTCTTTCTTCTCCCAAGTTTTGGAATGTAAAGACAAATTACAATCTACCACCTGAGAAACCAACATGCTGCATATTTCTTTGTCTGACAAATTAAAAGGATCCTAAAACAATGCAACTTCAATGACATATCTACTACCCAGTTCTCTGTTTCTTTATATTCTTAGTTCATTTAAAAGGAAGGAGGTGTAGTTGAGGAGAGGGCTCAGCACTGGCTGCTCTTCCAGAGGCCATGGTTCAATTTCCAGTACTCCCATAGTGGCTCACTACTGTCTGTTACTCCAGTTCTAGGGGATCCAATGTCCTCTTCCGGCCTCTGCAGGCACCATCTGCAATTACTGTGTGTGTGTACCTCACTCAAGCAAGGAACACCAAAACCATTACCTGAACATTTTTGGGTAAACTGAAACAGATGCTTCAACAATAACAAAGGAGATGGTGACACCTTTTATAATAGAAAAAAACTGGCAGGCAAAACTTTCACTGAGCAATCACAGTAAACAGCACAAGCATCCTCGGGCTGACATTAAACTACCTCCAGATGTGATGAAGCGCATGTCATCACTTAACATGGAATTATGCCAGAAGGACATTACCTGAATATAATTACAAAGAAGCAAAAGAAATCTTAACTGACCGACAATCCTACCAAAATTATGATCCTACATTCTTTAAAACTATTAACGTTAGGAAAGACCAAAATTGGCTGAAAAACTGCTTCGGATTTAAACAATGCAAGAGCTATAACAACTAGATACATAACATCAGAATGAAAAATGTTATTAAAAAAATATCACTGGCACAACTGGAGACTAGATGAAGCATTTAAGGTAAAAGGATCAAACTGTGCATAACTTACTCTCAAACAAGTCAATAATAAAAATAATGGAAAGAGGAAGAAAAGAAGAGGGCTAGAAAAAGAGAAGAGGAAAAGAAGAGCTAGCCATACAGCAGGTTCCTGATACCACACTACAGTATATGTTAATAGCACGTTTCTTGTGTGGTTTCCTTGTTAGCAATGTACACACACATTCACGCATTATTTCCAGGCATAACTATACAGGTACCTGTACGTTTGGTCTTAGCCATGTTTCTGATCTTAATCAAACAAACATGCATCCCTTGGCATCGTCCAGAAGATGTAATAAAGGAGCTTTAAGCTGTAAATAAAGCAATGTTTCTAGACCCTGTGGTCACTCTGCAAGCACAGAGTGATAAGAAATGAAAGTGATAAAGCAAATGTGGCACATGTTGACAACTGGCCAACCTAGATGACAGGTCACTGCATTACTCTCTTACTTTCTCAAAGCTGGAATATTTCCCAATGATTTTAACTAATTTTTTCATTTAAATTAAAAACAATCTTATTTTACATACCAATCCCAGTTCCCCCTCGCCTCCATCCTCCCATTCCTCCCACCATCTTCCCATCCTCTCCTTAGAGAGAGAGGCCTCCCATGGGGGATCAAGGTCTGTCACATCATTTGGGGCAGGACAAAGGCCCTCCACCATGTATCTAGGCTGATTGAGTATTCCATAGGGAATAGGCTCCAAAACACCCATTCATGAACTAGGGATAATTACTGACTCCACTGTCAAGAGGCCCCATAGACTGCCCAAGCACCCCAACTGACACCCTCATTCAGTGGGCCTGGTTCAGTCTTACACAGGTTCCGCAGCTGTCACTCTGCAGTCCATGATCTCCGACTTGCTCAGGTCAGCTGTTTCTGGGGGTTTCCCCAGCATGATCTTGACCCCTTTGCTCATCACTGCTTCCTCTCTACAACTGGATTCCAAGAGTCCAGCTCAGTGCTTAGCTGTGAATCTCTGCTTCTGCTTCCATGAGCTACTGGATGAAGGCTCTATGGTGGCATTTAAGGTAGTCATCAATCTCATTATAGGGGAAGGGCATTTAAGGTAGCCTCTCCACTATTGCTTAGATTCTTAGCTGGGGTCATCCTTGTGGATGCATGGGAATTTCCCTGGTGCCGGGTTTCTGGTTAAGCCCGTAACAGCTCACTCCATTAAGGTATCTCTTTTCTTGCTCTCCTTCTCTGTTCTCCCCAACTTGACCTTCCCGGTCCCTCATGTCCTCCCCCCCCCCCCTCCCTTCTCCCCAACTCTTTCTCCTACCTCCCTCCCCCAAATTACTTTTTTAAAGTTTTCTGTCAAAACTAAAATTTTACATTTGGGGAAATTAAGTCGCATCTCAAAGGAAAAACTTAACCACTAGCTTCTTCACTCCCTTTCATAATCCATGTGATCAAATTAAACCTATCAGCATTAACAAAAAGGTCTTCAGTATAAAAAACAATATGCTAAAGGAGTACTTCTAAGTCAACTGATTATCATGTGGAATGATTTTCACTATTATAAATGATGGGTAAGTTCCTAGTGTTGGGCACAAGTTTCAATTTTTTCCTTAGCAATATGGACAATAGCAGTAGTTTCTTGAACACTGTATTAAATTGGAACCTTTCTGAAAAAAAAATGTGAAATTAGCTGGATAAACTGAAAGGAGAGAATGGAAGCAGGGAGAATTTGGGTTAAGTAAGGAACAATAAGATTATATATCTCAAAACAAAAATAAATACACCCTTTAGTCAGCAGGGCTACCATCACCTTATGAGAAGGCAAACTGACTTTCAGGAAATGCCACTGGCCCTCAAGAGCTCTCAAATTCCTTCTTTTATAATGATGATGAAAATATGCTAATACAGAAAATGCATGTTGGGGTTTATGATCTATAAAGAGAAAATTTTAAAATCCGAGTTGAAAAAATGGGATGTCCATTATTTCAGTTAATTAGAGCAACCAACTTCAACATTTCCTCAGAATTTACTCCTTAGCAATATGGTAGCTATAGACCATAGGTGAGCTGGTCTCTGATCTAGCAGGAGATCCCAAAATGAGATTTATTCTACAAATAATCTATGTATCCAGGGCTTTGGAAAGCATACAAGAACAGAGAGAAAAACTCATCAAGAGAGATTAAAGCTGGAATCATGGACGAGGTAACATTTGAACTAGGACTTAAAGGATAAGTAGTTCAGTAAGTCTCTATGAGCAGGGGAACATTTCAACCACTAGAGAAAAATGCGAACAAAGACACAGGAACATTCCAATACTCAGTATCTTCCAAGTGCAGGCAGTGTGCTGTTAATGACTGACGAGATCTTGCTGCTTTGTGGAGTTCATATTCAGATAATGGAAAAAGATCACAAACAGAACAAAAACTGAACAAATCAGACTACACATAAGTTCCTTAAAGGAAATAATCTATGTATGAGTGCCCTAGTTAATTTTCTTTTGGGGGAGGGGGAGTCAATTTGACACTGACTTATTAGCTGAAACGAACCTCAACTGAAAAAAAAAAGTCACATCAGATTGTCCTATAGGCAAATCTGTGAAGTAATTTCTTGATTAATGTGACACCACCAGCCCACTGCAGATGGTGTCACCTTAGAACAGGTGGTCCGATGTTCTATAAGAAAGTAGGCTACACAGGTCACGGACAGCAAGCCAGTAAGCAGCACTCCACCGTGGCTTCTGCTTCAGTTCCTGCCTCCAGGTTCCTGCCTTGAGTTCCAAGCCCTTGAAGGATGGAGGCTGGAGGATCAAAACCTCAAGGTCATCCTCAGCTACATAGCAAGTTCAAGGCCAACCTAGGCTTGTCTCAAGAAAAAAGGAGTAGGTGTGAAGGAGGGAGAGCTCACAGGAGGCTAATTTAGACTGAAGAAGCTACAGACTAAAAGATGTGTTGAAGATAAACTGTGAAGAACAGGACTTGTGGATGAATTACATTTGAGAATGAAACTAAAGTATTTTATTTCTGGCTTGAATGAAGTCATGTACTAAGGCCAGTAGAAACACAAGACTGTGGAAGGAAGAAAAATAGGAGAGGAAAATCTAGCTCTATTCTAGCCATATTATGTTTGCTATTCCAAATGGATGTCTAAGTAAGCTCAGGAGAATTCTAATCTAGAAAGTTAGAAGGGAGGAGTCGTCACGTTGAAAACCCATGGCTATTTCAGTGGAGAGCACTCAGCTAGTCTAGGCTATGGCTAACAGTGAGTCTGGAAAGACTAGAATGGAAGATCTTATGAGGTGAGCCATTAACTAAACACAGCCACAGCAGTAGGGCAGTAACAGCACAGGAAAAATTACTGCACACTATGGGAAATTTTATGGAATCCACTCTATGGAGTCAATGTTACGATCAGTATTTTACACAATGAATGGGCCTCAGAGAAAGGACTTCTCGAAGAACACTAGGTAGAGTGGTCATTTTCACTTAACAGTCTGATTTTAGAGGGTTATCTCTTAACTTTGTCTTACAGCTCCTCTACTTATCTTTCACAGGCCTTCAAAGTTTTTGTTTCTGTTTTTGGTTTTAAATGAACTGGCACGTAGGATTGAAGCTGGTTCAGTTGTTAAACGCACTTATTGGTCTTGCAGAGGATATGTTCCTGTTCCCAGCATCCACATGGTGATCCACAACCATCCTTAACACTAATTCCATAGATCCAACAACCTCTTCAACCTCTGAGGATACAAGGTACATGTGGTATTCATACACATGCAGGCAAAATACTCACATGTGAAATAAATTTCTAAAAGAGAGAACTTTAGGAATATATGTCTAGTCTTACACAGTAGATAAACTTCTAAGAGTAAGGACCAAAGGTGAGGCAGGCAAATGCAGCATTATGCAATGCCAGAGCACCTTGTTTAAAAAAAAAGTTACAAGTTATCTTACCAGGTCAAACAGAAAGCAGGTCTTTGCTCCAAGAGTCACAAGTCATATCTCCAACAAATCCAAGCCAAGCTGCATTTGCATGCTGCTAGTCACAAAAACAACAAGAAGAAAAGGACTAGCTCATATAATGCAAACTCACCAGCCATTACTGTATTCCTGCATAGAAAATAAAACTAACATTAATCCAAAAGAGCCATTAAAAGGGCTGGATGTGGCTGCCACACATGAGTTATACTTCTGGGTTTGACACTCAGTCACGTAAGAAAAGATATGCCTTGACTGGCATTTGCTAGAAATATGATTAATGTCTGATTTCACCTATGTCAGAAAGTGCTCTCTGGTTTCTGCACCACCAAGTGCTAACTAGTAGAAGTAAATTACCTAACACTATATAACACTGTATAAATATGCTGTTCCATCTCACACAGAGTCTAATGTTTTAAACTTAGCTACTTGTGATTTCACGTTCAGTTACTATTAAGATACTCAAAATTAAATTTAAATGTGATATTTATCAACTAGATTCAGTTAAAACAAATATTGCTAAAGTCTATAAAAATTAATATTAACGTAATTGTTAAATTAAAGCCAGCACAGATCCTATGCTATAACAGAAGTCTTTCAAACTAGCAAATGAGCTTACACTATTGTAATAAACTCGACAGAGGGTGTATTTATTATATGGAACACAGATAAAGTAAATGCAGGTGAAGTCACAGCTTCACAGGCAAAGTGACATGAAAAAATCAGAAATTATTTATTAATGAAAAGCTATTTCAAGTATATTTATTCCAGGTGAGTTAAACAAATACTTTTTTCTAAATTCAAATGTTAAAGATCATATCTTGAAAAGAACTCTCATAACTAATACAACACATAATTCACTGAGGAATTGGAAAACTACTGAGGATTCTAATTCTAAACAACAATCTAATTCTAAAACAACTGGAGCAGAGTGATACTAGAAACAAGTCACAATCACATATCAAAAATCTAAAGTAAAACAGTCAATGAGACATTTTATATATGGTCTGAGAGCAAACTGACACTGGCACTAGGATATTTTTTCCAAAATAGACACATGAGCATTCTCCTATACCTAGTCCTTTGTGTCACAAACACTAAGCATTCTCACACTAACGTACACATATAATCTTCATAGGAGAAGAAGGAAGGAAGGAAGGAAGGAAGGAAGGAAGGAAGGAAGGAAGGAAGGAGGAAGGGAAGGAGGCAGGGAAGGAGAGAGGGAGGGAGGGAGGAAGAGAGACAGAGTAACATGCTTTTCTGTACATCACTCAAGCAGTGAGCCATGAACTCATCTCGTTTAAATTCTGATGCCATGGGACAGGTGGCACAATTCTTTTCCACTATACTGACGGTAGTTCATTACTTTTGTCAGTAGTAAAGTTAGCATCTAAATCAAGATCTGACTAAAAAAAAAAATCAAAGAGCCTTCCTTCAAAGCTTGCAAAATCAGAATCCTTGCATGAAATTATCTATCTTAAAAATACTTTCAATTTCCCTATCTACTCTTCTTTAACTACTTAACCTGGACAAGTCACTCACTTCTCAATTTATGAAGAACACATTTACAAATCTTTTCAATCTTGTAAAAAGGTAACAGTGATCATTTCAATACACAAAGCAGTATTCTCATTGCCCCTTCACTGATAAAAAGCTTACACCAGACTTTGTAACATTCCTATGAACCAGGAGTTTATCTTTAACAGGGGAGTATGATATGATAAGACAGAATGTTTGAAATTTAAATACCTCAGAAAATCCATAATTTTCATCACTGTATGTTACAATGAATTCCTCTTCTTACTAGACTAAAAGATGCAAGAGGAAAAGGGATGGCTTTCCAAATGGACTGACAAGCATGCTACTTCCCAAAAACAAATCTGATTGTAGATCATTCCAACATCAGAACACAATCTACTAAGATTTAACTACACTAGCAAACTTCACCTTCAAATACAAAGCTTTAGGGAAAAAATACAGAATCTGTATTTCAAACAAGTCAACATTAAAAAAAAAAACTGCATTTCCAATTACATTTACTAAAACCAAACAAAAAACTTAGTCACATATACCTGTTGTGGAAACATACAAACTATACAGAGAATTAAATTATTCTCAAGGCATAATTCAACATGCTAACACTACATTCAGTTTTAAGTCTCAGCTCTCCTTCCTTTGATCACCCTCCAGTTCTTCAATTTGATCTCTTGTAGGAAGAGTTAAGTGCAATTTTACCTTCATGAAAGACATGATTTTATGTCTAACAACAGTATAAATTGAAGGAAATACAGTTGGATTTAGAGAGGTCACCGTTCTTCAGAAGCATCGACTAGTTTAGTACATACATATTTTTCAAAACACTCTTGCAACAAGAATTTCTAATCTAGAGTCTGAAAGCACGAAAACGGTCGATTGTGACTCTTCCGAATGCTTTCACTGTTTTAACATTATCCTCTCAACTTTTGCAACTAAGAATTAAAACTCCAGTTCAATAAATCCACAACAAATACTAATTTTTACTGTCTTATACAAAATGAAACACAGATATGTTCCAGTAAACACTCCATTTGTATAACATTACATCTACTACCATTTAAATCATCTTTGGGGGAACTTGTCTCCCTAAAAGTTGCCATTTACAAGAAAGAAAGTCAGAGCTCTCCAAAAATACACACAAAAAAACAAAGTGAATATACAAGTGCCATAATAGTATACTATTTGCTTCATCCACATTTCCAAAATTCACATTAAAAGAAATGTCATTTTAGTGTGTTTGGGAATTAAAAACACAAAAAACAAACAAACAAAACACTACTTTGTTTACCTTTTCCACAGACTGTTCAAGTATTGCCAAGGTAACATAGATTTTAAAACTGACAACTAGACTACTTAGCAGTTGCCAAAACAACGCAGCTGGATTCTTAAAGGGAAAGTACTCTTGTGTAATACACACCTAATTACTGCTCTAGAGAACCTCACTGTCACACAGTAATGGATGATACAAGACATAAGGGAAACACACTGGGCTACAAACTTGAAAATGGTCATACAATTATTAGTTTTAAAATACGTATACCGTTGTCAACACATCGCAGCAGATCTTCTAATTGCAGTTACTGGAATCACAATTTCATAGTAAACTAACATACAGGGTAACGCAATGTTGTATTCCATCTACACACGGTTCCCTGCTGGATCATGACAGGAGGCTAGCTTCGGAGTTTAGGAGCCTATTCAAGGTCTGAGCTAGAATTTGCTAGTTAGACTTTCACCGGGAGAGGGAGGAAATGCTAATTCAGAATCGCTCACCTTTCCCAAACTTGTCTGCATTATCACCTATCTTTAATCCTCAACTGTCCAAAAGCAGATTGACATCGAACCCAAAGGCAAAGTTTCCATCTCACCATGCGCCCCCTGCGCGGCGGGATCGACTGGACCGCCGGCGGCAGGGAGCGGGTCCCTTCTGCAGCCCCCACCTCCCGAGACCTTGCCCCGCACCCGCAGGTGCTCGGAGCGCGGCCGCCGCCCCGGCCAGCCCCAGACACACACGCACACACCCTGTCACCGACATCCCCACCGCAGAGTTCAGACCCCTACCTTCCTCCCCGGCGAACCAGCCTTCCCCCAAAGCACGAGCGGGGGAACTTCAAGCGCGAGCACAGGGCCGGACAACCCCCCCGCCCCCGACACCCGCGGCGCACTGGAGGTCTAGCGCGCGGGAGGACCCCGCGGTTCGCGAAGCTAGAGAAATGGACCGAGCGGCTCCGCGGCCCCCTGGGAACTCCGTCAACTTTCAGGGAGGAGCGGTGCGACGCGGCGGGGGCCCCCCGAGGTGGCGCGCTCAGGGAGGCGGCCCACGACGGTCCCCCCCCTGCCGCCCCCCGCCGCCGCCGCGCCCGCAGCCCCCGGGCCCGCCCCGGGGCACCCCGCCCCCACAGCGCGCCGCCGCGCCCCTCCGTTTTCCCGAGGGCCCCCGCCGCCCCGCGCCCAGCCTCGCCCCGGTCCCCGGAGCCCCGCGGGCGCCCCTCCTCGGTCGCGCCGCACCCCCCCCCCGCCCCAGCGCCCCCACCTCAGCGCGGCCCGACCCCCTTCCCAGCCGCCGCCACATCCCCGCAGCCCACCGCCCCTCACCGGGTCTCCGCTACAGCCGGCGGGCGCGCACACACCGCAGCCCCGGCCCGGCCCGCCACAGCACTCCGCGCCGCCCGGAGCCGCCTCCTTCAGCCCGGGACTCGCCGGGACATCCGCGCACGGATCCCCACACCGGGGCTATTTTTAGGAGTCAGGCCTCGGCCAGACCGGAACTCGTTCTTCGCGGCGCGCGTGCGCACTGAGCAGACGCCTTGGTGTCCCTCCGCGGGCCTTGCCTCTCCCTTCCTCTCGGCTTCCTCTCTTTCTTCTCTCTCGAGGTCCCCCCTTTAGGGCTGATCTCTCCTCTCGGCGGGCCCTGAAGGGCTTGGCATGGGCAAGGCAAGGGGACAGGCAGAGAGAGTCGCGCCGTGCGAACAGCTATCGCTGTTCCACAAGGACGTGAGGGGCGGACTATGTTTTTCCGGGTGGGTGAGGAGACAGATCACCCGGCACAGGAAGGAGATGACGGCGGCTTGGCGCCGGGGCTGCAGGCTGGAGCGCTCTTCCCTCTGAAGGAGCGTGTTCTCCTGGAAGGGATACTGGTCACTTGATGAGGGCCTGGGCGCCTCCCTGGGCGTGGCGGGTCGGCGGCGCGTCCCCACCGCCTCCTGGGCCAGCCCGCGGCTGCGGCGACGCCACGCGTGGACGGTCCCAGCGCTTGGTCCACGGCCACAGCTGTGTCCGGGCACCGGGGCCAGGGCCAGCTCCTCACCCTCGTGCGTGCTGGGCCTGCCCAGACGTCGGCTCGCCACGCCCTCACTGTGGTCAGGGCCACACCTGTGACCCGACCTGGACAGCAGCCGGGTCACCTCCACTGGGCAAGCACAATTGGACCCCGTCCCTGGCCACTCCGTCCCAGCAGGGGCTTGGAAAACAAAAGGCATCTTGAGAATGAAGCAACCTGCCTATCCAGGCTATTAATAATAGTATATATAGCTTTAGAGCTAAGCCGTATCTCACTTAATCCTCACAGCCCCATAAAGTTCATCTCACTTTCTGTTGCCATTTGACAGATAAAGGGAAACTGAGAACCGCTGTGACCAGGCAGGGCCACAAAGTGTCAGAGAAGGTCAATGAAGGCTCGAACTCCTAACCATTCGGCGGAGTGAATTTTTCTAAGCGGAAAAGAAGTCATTGAGACTGGTTGTGTTTTGTTAGGTTACTGATTTTGCCAAGAGAGACCTATTAAGTGAGCCTCTGCTGGCCCTCATAGTCTGAAAGTTCTGTAGAGGTTCTTAGCTTTGGATTGCTTGTGTCTGAACCCAGAGGTGCCAAGCAATGGACACAGACCCAAATGTTTATTTTCACTCGAAGATGAGAGATTCGATCTTGTGTTCGAGACTTTAAAACACGTCACTGAGGTGGGTGAGCAGATGTGCAGAGGAACTGGGAAGTTACAAAGGAAACTGGAAGCTCGCGGGCTTCCTCCCTCAAGGACGACAAGGCAATGGGCTGGGGAGAGTCAAACACAAAGGCCGTACAGAGATACCAGATACCAGACACTGGAAAATAAACGCAGAGCCTCACCTCAGTGTTCAATGGAGCTTGGTGGAGGGGGGTGGCAGGGAGCTGTTATCTTCCCCTCTGGCCTGTCAGGCCTTTTGAAGGAAAAAGGCCCCGAGCCCAGACTGCAGGGAGGATCTTTTAAACACCCTAAATCTGGTGGAAAACAGCAAGGTATGTGGGAATGCATGTGTTTTAACCTGCCAGAAGCTGCCGCAGCAGCTGTATTCAACACCTCTGCTCCAGGAAAACAGAACTGCTTTGATGATTTCCTGCAAAACCAAGGGTAAAGGACAGTGAGGAATGGCTCCTCCTCATCAGCTTTTCATCCGGGAGAGAAGGAAGGGCAAAGAGGACAAGTGGTTTGACTCTCTCAACGCTCCCCCAGCTCTGCCCTCCTCCTGGGACACACAAGACTCCACCCAGACTGTCCATCCACCACCTAATGCCACGACTTTCGGTCACCCCGGAAGCCAGATGGAGAACTTGGCCATGAGTGCAGCCAAGGCCAAAATGTTTGCAGAGTTTTAGAGAGAACCTTTCTCAGAAGCTCCTACATCACAACGCCCTTGCCTAAGAATTAGTATAAGAGGATAAAAGGGAGCCAGGGAAGAAGGGAGAAGAGTGTAACAATTGTAAAACAGAGTGCCAGAGCACACTCAACTGTTAGTTATTTTGAGGAAGACATGGAAGCCTCTACAGATCTCAAACCCCTGCACCTGAAGTCCAGTAGCCAGCAACTTCCAGCACTTAGCTTGGCATGGGCCGTACTCATGCCCAGCACTTCTGCGTGCTGCTGAGGGGCAGCGCTTGGTCCTCCTACTCTGTCTGGCCTCCTTAAAGCCACAGTGACCAGACTACAGGGCCTCAGCATTGCACTGGGCACTGGACAAGAGTGGAGAAGAACAGCCCTTCCTCCGAAGAGACTGCCAGGTTATAGCGATGATCCGGCTTCTCGGTCACCTTGAGAGGGACTTTCTCCGGGGACAGAGCAGATGAGGAGTGTCTACAGAAGGAAGGCTTCTTACAGGAAACCATGCCCATTGTGACTCTAGAAAGTTAAAGGGCCCTCTCGTTAGCCCCTAGTGTGAAGACAAAAGAAGCAGGATCCCTGCTCACCTGGTCAGAGTCTTTCCTCCTGACCCCTAACTGTCCCCACTCAGGAAACCCACAGCTGCTTGTGCACATCCGCCTGTACTTCCACCTGAAGGATAAACCTCTTTGTATCCGGAAAGTCTCCACTTGGGCACCATTTCACACTGTGGCCCTTCTCTGAAAAAGTGTATCAAGGGGAGCACACGCTTTTCTTTATGTCCGTCTGTCTCCTCCCTGCTAGAGGGTGCACCCCATAAAGAAAAAAAAAAAGAAGGCTGGTTTACTTCATAACTCAAGTGCATGGCACAGAGTACAACTAAATAAATCCTTGTTATATGCATAGGGGCCTTTCAGCTGACAGAGTGTTCTCCTCGGGGTTCTCTTGAATATGCCACAAGAGGATCCACGGCTGACAGGGTGCACCCTCCACATGGAGGACCAACAAGCCGTGGCACGTGAGGCTGGAAATGCTGCTGGTAGTGAGGCAATCCAGAATCTGAACACACCGTCTATTTGCCGTTTACGCTGCAGACAGTGGGGAGCTACCAACAGGCAGTAAGCAAGTGGAAAGCTTGACCTATTTGGAATATTGGGGAGCAAGAGAGGAAGACTGTCCCAACAGATCAGAGGGGGCAAGGAGAATTGGCAATGAAATGTAGAAGGGGACTGGACCCTAGACTCAATTCTTGGACAAAAAAGACACATAGATGGGAAAGTGGTAAAACTTAACTAAGGTCTGTAGTTCACTCAATCGACTTTTATCAATATTAACCTAGTTTTGATAATCAGATCCCTATTTTAAATAAAGTGGCATTCAAAGAAGAATTTAGCGAATTTGCTATGCCAGTTTTGAAAGGTTTTGTCAGCCTAAAGTTATTTTAAGACAAAATAACTTTGGAATAACAAGATAACATTTTCATATTTTATAGGTTACCAGTTCCCCAGTTATAACCTTTGGAATTAAGAAGTAACATTCTGATCCACCGGGCATTGATGGCACATGCCTGTAACCCCAGCACTTGGGAGGCAGAGGCAGGTGGATCTCTGTGAGTTCGAGGCCAGTCTGGTCTACAAAGCAAGTTCCAGGACAACCTCCAAAACAATACAGAGAAACTCTGTCTCGAAAAACCAAAAAAAAAAGTGACATTCTGGTTATATGAATTACTTTTACCATTAAATATAGTTATAAGTCTCACTTCAATTTGAGCAATATTAAAACCACTGGTTTAGTGTTCTGGGTAGAGGGGGAAACAGGAAATTGTTTTAAAATGCTTCCAGTTACAGCACAAATCAATGGAGTTTCATGTCTGCCTTGTACTGGTTCCTAAACTTCAGAACCTGACATGTCCACATGCATAACTTCTAACATTGCCTGATGCATCCTTTTGAAGCATTAACAGTGCTGTTTTCACTTTTCTTAGTTTAATATCACATGGGCTTTTATTCCTGTATGACTGATGATGAAAAGGATGAATGCAAGCTCTCAAAGAAAGGGATAAAAGAGCTTTCCTTGGCTCAGTTAATATTCTTCCACGCGAAAGTCTACAGAAAGATTCAATAAACTTGAAAAACACAAAAACTGGAATCTTTGACAGCTGGGTGTTTTACACTATCGAACTTCAAATAAGTCTTTCAATTCCTATTATATGTTGTCATTTTACTATATTGTAGTTCTTTTCTTCTGTACGGAGTTTATTCACATTTTGAAATGCTCTCCAACAACCAGTATTAGATTCACATGTCAATTACAGTAATCCCAAGCCTCGAGTTTATTATCTTTTCTCACTCTGTTTCCTTCCGAAGAGGGGCTGTATTTCACATGCACACCTCCACGTCCCACCCACATCAACTGCTTGGGTATGAAACTCCACGGTTGCCTTTGTGCCCTTGTTTTCTCCCCAAGGCTGGTGCTGTCCTCTGGTCCCACCTCAGTAATTTCTTTCACAGTGCATTCCAGCATAACGAACCTCTGCTGTGTCTACTAGGTTGTCCGCTTAGACCCATTCTGGCTCTAAATGTCCCCAAAGATCTCTCATCCAGAGAAAATGATAGATTCTCTCTATAACAAGTTTGCAAATTATCCTCAGACTTCAATTCACAGTCTAGCGGGAATTTATGTCTGTTAGAATTTTAAGGTGTTGACATTCGGAAGAAGTTTGGTAAAGCCACAAAATTTGGAATCAAATAGTCCTTTGGTTACGTCACACCTCTACCAGCATTCCCTGTGTGTGTTTCATTGGATAAATCACTCAACTTCTCAACCTAAATTGTCCCATGTATAGAGCGATGGGAATTCTTCCTTGGGGTTATTTTGAGGGTTGAGAGACCGGTGTAAATTATTTAAGTCAACAGCAACTGTATGTGTGATTGCTCATTGATATAGTCCATGGACTTCTGCAAAGACCCGAATATGTGCCAGACCCTGTCTACGTCCTGAAAGTACAGGAAAGTCCCATGTTCTCGTAGGCAGGCCATAACAGATACATAAAAATGTCATATGTCAATACGGGCTAGGATAAAGACAACACATTTCTCTGTTGAAATGGAGGGATTGTGCCGATGCTTTAGCTTTGGGAAGGCTTCTGTGAGGCAGTGCTATTTAAACTGAGTGTCCAAAGTCCTGGGAAACTGAAGAACCCAGAAAGGCTGATTCAAGCAGAGGAAAGAAGAAAGTGTTTGGGGAGAAACAAGGTTTGTCCATTCAAAGTACAGATGACCACAAACATGTCAGGTAAGTCGGGAAACAGGGTCATGTTTAAAGCCAGGGAAAGACCGGTTCGTTGCCATTACTTATGCAGGAAAATGAAAACAATGACAAAATTGCTAGTAGGTTAATAAAAACTGATTCCTTACTGTACAAAATGAGCTCAACGTCTGTTCCTTGGATCATTAGTCAGCTATTTGTCTATTTATCTTAGCTGTAAGAAACTCAAGTCAAACTGACATATGCCATAAATTAAAGAGAGAAATGTGTTGGTTTGTTTACCTGAATAGTCAAGACTATAAGAGTCACCCCTCTAGCCACAGTTTTGCTCTTTGTGGCTTCAGTTGTTGGTGGTCATTAGAAAATGAATACAATAGCAAGAGATCACATTCCACATAACTTTTATTAAACTGCATTAATATAATTCTATTTTATTGTTGATTATTTTTAGTTTAATTTTATATTTATCGTGTGGGTGTTATGGATACTGGCTGTCATGCATATGGAGCTTAGAGAACAACCTTTGGAAGCCAGTTCTCTTCTTCCCCGGATGGAACGCTGCCAGTTATCAGGCTGGGTACCAAGCACCTTACCACACCCACATCTTGCAAGACCCTACTTTTAACCTTTTGCTTTGTCTAATTTATAAATTAAACTTTGTCTTGGATATCTGTGTATATGAGGGGGCACCATAGCAGACAGGGCTTGGCAGTGTCTGCAGTTGAGGCTCTCACTGAGGGTCTTTAGTGTATTCTCTATAGATAAAGGGAGCCACTATAATTCTAGATCCACCATTTCTGGTGGGAAGTTGAGTTAGCACCTCCATTTGTCTCCCTCTCCCCACTCTCTCTTTTCTGTACCTCTTTATGTTGCTCTCACTCACAGGCAAGGGTGCTTTTTGTATAATTCTGCAGCAACTGTAGTCTTAGATTTCATAGTTAGCAATTTCCCATAAAAAGTTTTCATGTTTTGTTAGCAAAGTTCTGCCTGAGCCTGGTCCAGTTGCATGCCTCTGAACCAACCATGATGGCCAAGGTAATAGGTTAATCTGATTGCTCAACTCTGAGTCACTAGCTCACCCTCTGGAGTCCTGAGAGGGTTCAAACTCACCCAAACCCCAAGGACAAGCAGATGGACAGAGAGGGAAACTCTTCTCCCAGATTAGGATGCTATTGTCAAAAGATGAGGTCCTGCTTGCCAGATGGTCAAGAAGAGTGCAGACCTCACAAAAGTTGATCAGCGAGTGTCAGCTGCATGCTCATGTTAGGCTGTAAGTGGCAGAAATGTGGTCCATACCATTGACACTAACCCTGGGCTCCTGTTAGGAAAGAGACATGAAAGTCAAAAGAAACCCAGCAGATGTTGCCTTCACAGGACCCGAAGGCTGACTACTGCTCTTATTCCCACCCAGTCCTCAGCCTACTAAGTTTCACATTCTTTGCAACCTGTAATATTTTCAGACAAATCTATCTCATCTTCTGGGACAAACTGGGGTCACTGCACCCTATTGATATACAACACGTCTCAGTTGGGCCTTTCTGAGTCATGCCGCTCTTGAGTGCCATCTCTGTGCAGCCCTACATGGTATATGGTATCCTTCCTTCCAGGAAGTGAGTATATGTAATTAGCAGACTGTTGCTCGCTCATTTCTCCAGTACCTAGTGTCTTGTGTTTGGTTGCCTCGTGTTAATTGGGACAGGGGAATCTCTTCTTTGGCATGGGGTGACTAGCAAGCCGTCAGATCATAGCCTTTAATTGCTTTTCTGGAAGTAGCCAGAGCTCTTTGCTCAGGTCTGTTCTGTGGGCGCTAACTAAATTATGCCAAACCCCAGAGCCCCAGGAGCTCCTGCAGGTGGACCTAGAGACCACCACACACACCTGACTCCAGCCCCTCTCCTTGTATTTCCTTTTCTTTAACAGTAGGTCCAACCAGCAGTCATGGAGTCTTTCTCATTAATGCTTTCTCTACAGTCTGGCACCTATTAGGCTTTCAATAAACATCCTTGGCATGAAAAAAAAATCTGTGCATTCAAGCAGGCAGTGGAAGAGTACTTTGGTCTTTATTTAAAAACTCGGGTTAATTTAGAACCAAAATGAGCCACTCAGAAAACCCAGGAACGGAAAATCTATTTTATGTTGCGCTTTACAGAGGAGATTAAATCCTAGAGGTCAGAAAGCCATGTTTTTCAACGTTAATGTTAGTGAAATACCAAAATGGCCTCTAAAAAGAATAGGCTACATCTTGTGCTTAGATTTTTCGATGAGGTTCCTGTTTTTGTCATAAATCTCAACCTCTGCTGGGTAATTGCACAACTCCTGACTTCACTCAGCCAGTGTAGTCTTGGCACGATCGACATTTCTTGGTACATGCTGTAGGCGAGATTTTTATGAGACTTGATTCTTGTTTTGGCTTCATTTGATCATGTATATCTGTAATTCAGCACACAGATGAAAGCAGACAGCACCTCTCAGCACCAAGAGGGGCAAGTGCCTCAGAAAATGATAACGCGTTTATCGTGCACACATCTACAGGACACATCTACAGGAATGCAATGGGCTTTCCAGCAGCCATGCTCTGGCACGTTCTGCAGGTAAGCATATTGTTTGAAGGGGCTGGGTCCTCTCCTGGAGAATCATTTACAATTTCCAGAAGCTTAAATATGTAGAATGCAGCCCTCAGAAAGAAAAAGGGGCTAAAGAGCCCTGTCAGAGTGCCTCATCAGGGTTCCTTGGCCTGGCCTTTAGATCTCCAAGAGGGTGCATTTTGAGCAGCTTCTCCCCAGAAACCTGTTCTAGAGCACAGAGGAAGATGTGAGGTTACCAGAAGACCACACTCTTCATCTTTCCAAATAGGAAAGATGAAAAGGTTTTCGCTGTTGTTGTTTTGACAAGCTGACTTGGCAAGGGTATGTAGAAACAGGCATTGTTAGGAGAGTAAAAATTGCTACAATCTCTTTAGAAGAAAACTGGTTACTATCTGTCATCATATTAAATGTGCATCCTCTTGACCTGGCCCTCTCCTATCAAGGAATTTTCTCCCATAGAACACTTCTCTGTATTTATCACAGAATTATTTACAACAGCTAACAAAATCAGAAAGCAAATACCTGTCAGAGTGAGAACAAGTAGACCATCTTTAGTATAAACATGTAAGAGAATGCTGTTTCTGTCTTCTACATACAATGAGCCCCCTCCTTCCCTTCTAAGGCCTCAGTGGCTCATTTCTGAATCCACGCATGGCATGTTTTGCTTTGTTTTCCCACACACACCCCACAGCAATGCCACACAGCCAGGTTGCTCTTCCACATCCTGTGAACTGGAGCCTCCTTTGCAACACTACTCTCACTCTCTGAGGCCATACTTTATACAGTAAGGATTATTGGAACACCAGCACTGACGTATGGCGACAGTGAGCCTGATAACCAAGAAAATTGCACAAGTAACTAACAGGAAGGGAGCATATACAATGCAGTTACGCTAGACAAGGGGATGAGTCAAATCCCTAGCAGGACAAAGTGTGATGGCAAGATTTCGTGTTACTCATAATGGGACACAATTTACAAATGATGGATTTGAGTTTTTCTGAAATTTTCCATTTCTATTTTAGACCATGGTTGACCATGGGTAACTAAAACCACAGAAAGTAAAACTTCAGATAAGAGGGAACTATTGTTCATGACAGAGGAGGAGTGTGTGGTGTTCCTCAACAAGGTCATTTTTGGAGGCAACTGTGGGTAGGCCTCTAGTGGGGTGGTGTCCAAGATGCTATGGAACATTCTAGAGTGCACCAAACAGCCCCTGTGCAGTAACAGAGAAGAAGTATCCTGTACATGTCAACCGTGCTCAGGCTGAGGTCCTTTAGAGAAATCTGCCTAAGGTTCCCTAAAGAAAGGAATGACTGCCCATGAGAGGGGAAGTTGGCTATGACCCTTTCCCCTGGTGAAGCGTCATTTGCGCATGTTCCCCATCTGTGTCTTTAAAGTCAGTGTTACACAGTTGTCAAATGTGCCTTCTCCGGCTTTCTCTTGCTGCGTATGTGTCAGGCAGCAGCTGGTCCCGTAGAAGGCATTTGTTTATCTTGCCTCAGATCCTCTCCTTGCTAAGAGTAAAGAGAAACAGAGAATGAGTTGGAATTGAGAAAAACTATTTGAAATTCACACATTTCTGGGCCATTTCTGTCACCTGGAGAGAGAAACATCACAAATTTGTTCATTCCCAAAGTAAATACAGAAAAGCATGTAGATTTTGCTGACTGCCTGTCTTTCACCATGTTGACTTTAGAGCTTGGAAATCCAGGCAAAATGCTCTGTGCCATCCGCCCACAGCATGTACACAGCAGCAAGGTAGACAGATGACCCCCGGGTTCTGAGAGTCTGGTAGCCTTAATGTGAAAACTTTATAGTTCAAATGACAAATTATCTGTTGAAATATCTTAAACACTAGTTGAGAATGTAACCACAAAAGTATGCTCAAAGTTCTAGGTAATGATTCTGACTTCAATATTGTCTACGATGGCAAGAATCTGAAAATAATAATAGAGGCCAGGAAAAAACTTTATAAATTATATCAAGATCCTCATAGGGAATATTCTTCCACTGCTAGAAACAAGCCAACCCAAGCTTGTTGATGTGGAATTATCTTAGAGTTATCTCGGAGAATGCTCACATAACATGGGATTTCAAATCCACTCTTCATCACAGACAAGAGAAGCTCATCATGTATTTTCTCTTGAGAGAGCAACTGAGGCAAGGATGTGAGGGGCTGTCTTGAGAAGCTTTCTCTTGACATTTTGTTCTACCTAATGTGTTGTTTACATTTCTAACCATGCATATGTGCATACATTATCATTTGAAATTCTTTCGTGACAATAGGATGGTAAAAACATATAGCCCATGTAAGTGATGTTTTCTCCCATGTTTTTATTTATGAAAAAAAGCACACAATATATAAATTCAAGTTTTTCCAACTCATGATGATTTAAATTTTTAGGAAATGGTATACATTCATAGAAAGGTACTTAGATTTTGAGGTTTAGGGCCAGCAAGATGGCTCAACAAGTAAAGCCCTTGTCACATAAGCCTGATGACCTATGTTCAACACATGTAATGGTGGAAGGAAGGAATTGACTTGTTCTCTGATCTCCACATGTGCTATGGCATACATGCACCCATATACATACAGTATTCACACATGTTTTTAAAAATATTTTGAATTTTGCCATGTTTCTGGGCTAGTGATATAAAGCACAACCTTTTCTGCCAAGTATCAATAATCAACAGGGAGCCACACAAGGCCCCAGTCAAAGAGAAACAAACACTGCACTATAGTGGGGTTGAGAGTTGATGGAAAGCTGTTTTCAAGGTGTGTGGGGGGCGTGGTTTGTGTCTTTGTGTGCGTGAGGTCAGAGGACAACTTGCAGGAATAATTTCTCTCCTTCTACCATGTGAGTCCCAGGGATTGAACCCAAGATTCTCAGGACTGGTGCCCTTGGCAGCAAGCACCTTTACCCACTGAGCTATCTCACTGGCCCAATGCAGGTCATTTCAAGATAAAATTCTTGGGGTGAAAGTGTGCTTAAATAGGCACATTAGTCCTATGTCTCAATATTTTCTGTTTCCTCCTCACAGGAAATTTAAATCTTAGTCAACTGGGGGCGGGGCAAAGTGGGCTATTGCAAGTTAATCTTACTCAGTCTAGAAATCCCATTGTGGTGATTGGAATGAGACTGGTCCCCATAGACTCATAGGTGTGTGAGCTTGGTCCCCAGTTAGTGGAACTGTTTAGGAAGGATTAGGAGGTGTGGCCTTGTTGAGGTAGGTGTGGCTTTCCTGGAGAAAGTGTGTCACTGGGAGTGAGCTTTGAGGTTTCAAAAGCCCATGCCAGGTGCAGTCTCTCTGCCTGCTGCCTGTGGATCAGGATGTAAAACTCTCAGCTACGGCTCCAGCACCAGGCCTGTCTGATTTCTGCCATGACGGTCATGGACTAACCCTCTGAAACTGTAAGCAAGCCCACAATTAAATGCTTTCTTTTATAAAAGTTGCCTTGCCCATGGTGTGTCTCACAGCTATAGAACAGTGGCCCATCCTTCCCTTTTTTCCTAAGACTTATTGGCATGAAAAGAAAGAGACTGGTCTGTGGTCATTCACTGTAACCATTTGCATTGACAGACTCCTGCATTCCTTCTGGCTCTTAAGCACAGTCACTCAGGTGCAGGTGTCTGCCCAGATTTTGATGTAGTGACCCCTCACCTAACTGCAGAACTCCTGGATCAGATTCTCTCTTATTTACAGATTACATGTTAAACTCTACTGGATCAAGATCCCTTCCATTTGCTTCTTAGGTGTGGTTCTTAACTTGGCTACCTTGGAGTTATCAGAAGAGCTTCAAAAATGGCAGGACCTTCCCCTTCCTCAGTATCTCCTGATTCACTTGGCATTGGCCACAGCCTTGGAATCATTTTAAGAGTCCGTAGGTGATTTTTTAAGTGCACAGACCTATGAGAACCACTGCTCCAGTCTCTTTCATGGAACCCAGTTGGCTAGCTGAGGATTTAGTTAGAGAGACCACCCCTCTTGATCAGTCAGGTCTTTTGATGCATCAGTTTCTACTCTTTCTCTACTTTATTTACTCTCTGACACAACCATCACTTCCGTATTAAGCTAGCGTAGCTTTGGATGTACACAAATAGATAATGGCTCTATGTAAGAGAAATGAGTTTCCTGCTCACACAATGCACGAAGTTTCTAGTAACAATCAGAGAAAGGCACACCTGAATGAGATCTCAGAGTATTCCAGAACTACCTTGGTAGGGGACAGCTCCTAGAACAATCTAGGAGCAGATAAGCCACCGAGAAGCTTGGAGCAGATCCCAGGCCAGAACTGTCCCATACATAGGAAGAGAGTGCCCAAAAGGCCTTTGATATGACTGAGTTCATGGAGCAGAACCCATCTTGGCAGCATGGCTGATGGGGGATGGGAGACTAAAGAACAATACCATCAAGACATTTGCAAGGCTCCACTGTGAGTCTGCTGGAAGAGAGAGAGACTTTCATCTGAATTCCATCAGCACGTCTCATGCCTGTGTGGCGGGAGCAGCTGTTCTCACTTTGCTACAGGACAGTAGGGTGCATGGAGTCCCCGCAGCAAGTACTGTGGGTGTGCACACAGAGCTCCTAAGAAATGCTCATCTAGGCAGCAAACAGATCCCATGCTAGGCTAGGGTAATCCCAGGCCACTAAGGACTCTCTATGGGGGCTAGAGGTAGAATCAGGACCCATTCCAGGAAGACAGGAATCCATGTGATGGAGAGGGCAGCTCTTGATGCCTAATACCAGGTGACACACAATAGTTCAGTCATTGGTCCAACAGGTGCTCAGACTTCCATCACCATAGCTGCCACAAGCTCCTGGATAGATCACAAAAGCATCTGCGGCCAGCCATTTGGTTTGAATAACCCCAGGAGCCCCAAATGCATGTCACAGCTGTCCTTAGCATCAGGCAGGCAGGCCAGCAGCCACTAGCAGGTGCCTGCCATAACTGCTGTGGCCCAGAAGTTGATCCTTGATCATTCAGCTGTTGAGCATTATATGAA